ATTTGCTTTCAGGACTGCAATCAGATGATTATTTTGTATATATTCATAGAAATTTTAAATATACAGAAGAAACTTCTTAGGAATTTAAAATGTATTTTAATCACTTTTACAATATTTTAATTCTTTTAGTGAAATTTTATAAATTAAAATTTCAATAAACCCAAGAGTTGTTAGCTAATTTAAAAAAAATTATACAACATCAACCTTAATTTACATNGCCAATTTACGATAAACAAGCAATTTTATAATTGTTCAATTAGTGTAAATACAAAAGAAAAACGTTAAATGACAATAAAATCTATTTATAATTTATTTTGTATACTAGTACTTTCTATGTATTAACAGGACTTATTATACTGGGAATTATGGATGCAGATATTTAGTCTTACAGTTCAAAAATAATGTTCTTTATTTAGTTCACCTGGTTCACCTGAACTAAATAAAGAACATTATTTTTGAACTGTAAGACTAAATATCTGCATCCATAATTCCCAGTATAATAAGTCCTGTTAATACATAGAAAGTACTAGTATACAAAATAAATTATAAATAGATAAAAAAAAAGACAAAAAGGCATAATAATTATTTTTTTTTTTTTAAATTGTGCATATTATAGACTAATAATATCTTAAAACGTTCCTTTTTCATAACACTAATCTATAAATATAATATAATATTTTATATTTATATTCTTTTTCTATATCAATTTCTACAGTAATGTAAACTCTCATGATAAAAGTAACAACAGTTATATATTGTCCAGTGATTTAATATTCTAACACTAAAATATTTATATAAAAAATGTCTGTCAATTATTACACGAAAAATCTTTTTCCATTAGAAGGCTTATTTCAAATACATAAATTCAATTGTCTTCATAATAATCAGACTAAATATAATTTGGGATTCAAAATATATCATCTATGTTGGAAATTTATACAAGAATGAAATAATATACATGAAAATGGAATGAAGTATCAATTTTTGATTAATGAGTTATTTATAAGAATTTTAAACAATATTTTGTAAATAAATAAATAAAATTTGTATAAAATAACAGTCAATTTATGAGATTAGAATCATTTTAAATCTTTATATAACAATAAAACAGAATGAGAATTTATTTTAGAATGTTTTTAAATACAAAAATAAATTTTAGAATCTTTTTAATAAATTGCTTTTCAAGTATCTGATAACAAATAAAACATTAATAGAGTTACCTTCTTTTGTAAGTTTCTTCCTTAAGATTGTTAGTTTTTCTAGCATTGGTTTTACTTAAATTTATATGATTTTTCAATACACATTTCTTTATGTTCAGAAATATATTTTAACACGTTGAGGTTTGTTCACTCATATATTAAATTCTATATATAATTACTGTATTATCTGTTAGACTCAACCTAATATCAGTTAACCATTTTGTACAAAAGCTGCTTTCTTGCTGGTAAATGAGAATTTTCTATTTGTGTATTTTTACAAAATATTTGTGTAAATCAATTATTGAAATAGCCCGAAGTGCATTTTATACTTAGTGAAAGTAACTTCAAATTCTTCTTTAGAACTTTCAATCACAATAAAATTGTACACAAACATTGTAATATTAAGTTTTTCTTTTGTTCACAAGACAGGATTAATAAAGTATTTTTAAAAAATAATTATTTTTCTTTTTAAAAGTTTTTTTAAAATCTTATGAACATGACCTAATTTTATTAACTCAATAGAATAATTTATAATTAGTATCATTATTAAAATATTCCATTTATATTTATATTTGAGATTTAATATATTGATTTGAATTCATATAAAACAGGACTTTTTTTAATAAAAGTTTTGCTCTTCAAATAGCAGATTAATCTAAATCTAATCTCCAATTTGATGCCAGAATAAATTAATAGAATGGCTCTTACTTTGCCATTTTAATCATCATCAGTATTTCTATTAAGTTCATCAATTATTTATTTTCATTATATTTTTAATTACAAATTTTGTAATATTAAAGATACATTAATTTCATTACTTAGAAAGTTTTAAATTATGGAACACATTTTATTAAAAACTTTAAAATTTTTACACATAGTTTAGTTTATTGGTCACTGTATTATTTTGTAATTAATAACAATTTGATATTACTAACTGCAATTAAAAAAATCCAGTAAGGAGTTGCTTAACTTTCCCTGCAACATTTGGTAGTGCCATCTGTTGTGACATTGTGTTTAAAATTTTTAAAATATTTTTTTAACTATTATAAAATGGCAAAAAGCTTAATTTTGGGGGTAGGGATGTGTTTTATAAAAAAATTGTAAATGCTAATAATGAGTAAAATTGTCATAAAATCTGACCCTACTCAAGATACACACAGCCTCCTTTATTTACCCACCCTCTCAACCTTTATTCATCAAAATTTAATAGCATCAATCCCCCTATTAAATAAACCTCCCTGCAAAATTTCAGAAATTTTCAACAAAAAAACACAAGAGTTATTAAGCTTCAAAGAGAGTAAACAAAATTGTGCCCTCCCCACACACCCATACATACAGAAATTACTCAATGTTTTAAGGTCTCAAGTCCAAAACTGTAAAAATCTTGGGTGGTTATTTTTTGATTGATTGCCATACTTTCCCTATGTTATATATAACAACTAGGAAAGTAAGAAAAAATTGAAAATATCTCAATCTATATGCATAAAATAGAATTTGTTTCTTTCTACCATACATTTGCAACATGGACCAATAGTCTCCAGAGGTCACATAATGAAATAAATAAAAAGGGAAACTGTAAAACAATCAAAAAAGGATGCAAGCATAATTTAATTTTTTCAGTAGGTGACAGCAACAACAAAATCTAGTAGTGATCATACCAGTCTTAAAAATTTACATTACTTAAAAGTTTTTAGCTGTCTTTTGAGTGGTGTATATATATATATACACACACCAGTCATAAAATTTATATTTTATGTATATTTTATATGTTTAAGTATAGAACATAAAATATAAAATGTAGTACTATCTGAAAATGAGGGCCTCCATCTATATAAAAATCCAAATAAAAGATGCATGTGCAAGTTACCAATTATTTTTTTATATAAACAATTGAAAATAAAAGTAGACTTTGCATACTCTTATCTCCAAGTATTTGTAATTGCAATTTTACTCTAATAGCTTTCAATTCCATCCTATATGCATTAGTAATAGTCAAGTATCTTTGGAAAAGAAATATTTATAGTGATTTTGTATTTAGTCTTCAATTTGTATTATCTTTAAATATATATATTTCAGTAAACAATGTCTTTCACACACTTTCTAGCAACAATCTTTAATAAAACAAACATTTTCAGCTTCTTTTAGGGACCTGCTTCAGGTTTTAAACTATTCCAAATTGAACAGTTTACTGAGCATTCCAAACTGGAATGTTACAAAGTTTTTCTTTGACATTTTTTAAATCATAGCTTTACAATCAAATAAATGTGTACATAAAATTATATACAAACAAAATTATGCAATCTTCAATACAGATAAAATGAACTAAAAATTAAATTAAAATAATATGAAATAAAATAAAGAAAACAGCATGTCTGATGTAATAAAATATAAATATGTTTAAGTAGTTGATAGTACTGTACTGTACAGTACTGTATTGTGCATGTATGTGGTTGTTACATTGCTGTAGGGGATTATCAACCAGTGATTGCCAATGATACAGTTTTGTTTTAAAGATTTCAAATGCTTGTAACATTCTTAGTTTGTGGTCATCATACATTTTTTGTATAACTGTTGCCTCATCCCAATACAATGACACTCTGGGTTCAGTGGTATCATGTTAAGATGAAGTAGGGATTATACAGAAAGTGTTTGATGACCACAAACTATGAATGTTACAAACATTTGAAATCTTTATTGCAAAAATCACAGGGAAATGCACTAATAATAAAGAAAGTGAAACTATATCATTGACTTGGCAATCACTAGTTGATAACCCCCTGCAGCAATGCAACAGCCACAGAAATATACAATCAACTACTTAAACACATCTGTATTTTATCACATCAGCACACCATTTTCTTTATTTTACTTCATGTTATTTAAAATGAACTAAAAATTGAATTAATCAGTATTGAATATTGTATAATTTTGTTTGTACATAATTCATGTACATATTTATTTGATTGTAAAGCTATGATTTTAAAAAATGTAAAAGAAAACTTTGGAACATTCCAGTTTGAAATGGTCAGTAAACTGTTCAATTTGAAATAGTTTAAAGCCTGAGGCAAGTTCCTAAAAGAGTCCAAAAACATTTGTTTTATTACAGATTGTTGTTGGAAAGTCTGTGAAAAGTATTGTTTACTGTAAGAAAAATTCCAACATTTAAAGATTTGTCATATTTCATCCTTGGATTTTTCAACACTACTGTTTAATTTATGACTTACTATTTTTACCGAACAGAGATAACCTGGAACATATTTATTGCACAGTAATTATGTTTTGCAGCAACATTTTATAAAAATAGATTAGGAAACTTATATAAAAGAATAAAAATGTAGTGATATCAATATTTTTGACTCATGGAAGTCAGTCATATCCCACTATAAGTTGGCCAAATCTGTTCACCTACTTTTAATGGGTCACCTATTATTAAAGATTCATTCTTAATCCAGTAGACTAACTACAGTGGCTAGTTCACCTTAATATGCATATTCTTGAAAGTAATAAATATCCAAAACATTAAATTTTAATTTTTAATAGAAAATTTTGATACAAATTTAAAAACTGATAATAGTAGTTATACAAATACTATTCAATTTAATAAAATAATAAAAATAATTACACATTATTTTAAATCACTAATTACAGTACTCAGAATATTAGATCAAAATAATAAAAGCATTACAAAAATTTGTATAAATTCTAAGCTTTAATTTTATTTATAATTCATATTATTTTAATCCATCAAAAGCATCATATTAATGCTTAAAAATTTTGTTACATTAGAACAGGTATATTAAAGTATATTTTTTCTTATAAAATATTTAGTAGTAGAATATAATAATTATTATAAGACATCATTACAAAATCTATTTTTAAACTTTACAAGCATAGCCATGAAATATTTGAAGCAGTTTTAACAAACATTTACAAATACTATTAATTTTTGTTTATCTAAGTAATAAATATTTAGTTTATTTAATTTAACATCATTTTTGAAATATTTTAAGCTATTATTTTCATTATAATATCAAAGATTTACTTATTTTTGTTTAATTTATGCATAGTAAATGACCATAGTCTTAACCAATGACATAATAAACGATCATCTATCTTTACACTTACTGAAATAAACTGTGCAGGTTGATTCCACCTATATTCAAAAATTAAAGATATTTAAGTAAATGATAATTGTTTAAGTAAATTATTATAAAAAAACTTACCAAACATGTATCATTTCTTTTATTTCTTCATTCCATTTAATTCCTTTATCTATATATTCTAAATATTTCTGAACTTTCTTATGCAAATTTGAACATTGAATTACACCTTGTTCATCTTTTTTACTAATTTCTATGAAATACAAAATAAATTTACAAAAATATAAATTCCCTAAGGATAATTTCTATAAATAATCGGAGAAAACATTTTGTTTGCAAAATTCAAATTTATTAATTTTTATAGCATAACAATGACTAAACTTTGAAACAAAATCTTCTTGTATACAAATGGATTATTAGATTTTATTTAGATTCCATTTACCAACAGTTAAGTTTGAACAGAAAAAAACATTAGTATATAGAGTATATTGAAAAAAACCATCTTTCTTATTGTAATAAAGATTTTTCAAGATAATTTACATTTTATCATCAAATCCACAAAAAATTTAAAGAACAAGCCAATATAACTGATTTAAATTTAAAATCTGAAACTTAAAGCTTATATTAAATAATAAGGAATATTCACTTAATAAAAAATTCAATTTGAAAACAGTAGTTAAGGATTTTATTTTCTTAAATGTTTTGAATCCATCTTGATCCATCCTCAGAAAACACAAGTAAACAAACAAGAAAACTAATTATTCCTTCATATTTATGCCATTTTTTTCCTGGATCAGAGAGAATGTAAAATATTCAAGAAATAAATAGTTCTAAACTTTTAATATGAAAATATAGAAATTTTAGTTGAGATTGAAGGATAAATTTCATTTTCTTTTTAAAAAATAATAAATAAAATTGATATTTTTTGTGATATAGACTTTTATGTGATTATACTTTTTATGTCTTCAATCTAGATTTCAAAATACTTTATNTTAAAACGTTCCTTTTTCATAACACTAATCTATAAATATAATATAATATTTTATATTTATATTCTTTTTCTATATCAATTTCTACAGTAATGTAAACTCTCATGATAAAAGTAACAACAGTTATATATTGTCCAGTGATTTAATATTCTAACACTAAAATATTTATATAAAAAATGTCTGTCAATTATTACACGAAAAATCTTTTTCCATTAGAAGGCTTATTTCAAATACATAAATTCAATTGTCTTCATAATAATCAGACTAAATATAATTTGGGATTCAAAATATATCATCTATGTTGGAAATTTATACAAGAATGAAATAATATACATGAAAATGGAATGAAGTATCAATTTTTGATTAATAAGTTATTTATAAGAATTTTAAACAATATTTTGTAAATAAATAAATAAAATTTGTATAAAATAACAGTCAATTTATGAGATTAGAATCATTTTAAATCTTTATATAACAATAAAACAGAATGAGAATTTATTTTAGAATGTTTTTAAATACAAAAATAAATTTTAGAATCTTTTTAATAAATTGCTTTTCAAGTATCTGATAACAAATAAAACATTAATAGAGTTACCTTCTTTTGTAAGTTTCTTCCTTAAGATTGTTAGTTTTTCTAGCATTGGTTTTACTTAAATTTATATGATTTTTCAATACACATTTCTTTATGTTCAGAAATATATTTTAACACGTTGAGGTTTGTTCACTCATATATTAAATTCTATATATAATTACTGTATTATCTGTTAGACTCAACCTAATATCAGTTAACCATTTTGTACAAAAGCTGCTTTCTTGCTGGTAAATGAGAATTTTCTATTTGTGTATTTTTACAAAATATTTGTGTAAATCAATTATTGAAATAGCCCGAAGTGCATTTTATACTTAGTGAAAGTAACTTCAAATTCTTCTTTAGAACTTTCAATCACAATAAAATTGTACACAAACATTGTAATATTAAGTTTTTCTTTTGTTCACAAGACAGGATTAATAAAGTATTTTTAAAAAATAATAAATAAAATTGATATTTTTTGTGATATAGACTTTTATGTGATTATACTTTTTATGTCTTCAATCTAGATTTCAAAATACTTTACATAGTTTATAAAATTTAATACACAATACCTTTCATATCTTCATCTTTACACAATGTAACCCTTTCATTAATAGCAGTCATCATTTCCTGTACACTTTTCACTAATTCTTTATAAGAAATATTTAGCATCAAAATATTGGCAGACGAGAAAAGTAATCTCTCTGGAGCCTGAAATAAATCATTTATAATATTTTTATTAATAATAGATTTTGCTTATATACAAATTCTTAATTTTACAAAATTAATTTTTCTATTTAGCTTTATTTTTATTCAAGTAAATGTTCACTATAAGCAAATTTTGAACAGATAATTATTTAAATAACTAATAGTGAGAAATACTACAAATACTTATTTATATTAAGTAAATGTATGAAAACATTTTCAACAATATTAAGAATTGTTTTATGTTTAGAAACTAAACTTTTTTATAAGATGCATTTCAAATCTTTTCTTTTTAGATTATCTTCAGTTTTGCAAGAAATCAAATTAATTTTATTCAAATAGAATAATTGTAATTCAAAGTTTCAAATGAAACATATTTCTTTTTTACATAAACATTATATAACAACATTCAACTGCACATCACTTTATTTCACTTTATTCCTTTATAACAAAATTCATAACAACAACCAAGATGTGTTTCAAGAATGGTTTCTTTTCAGTTCATACCTGGAACTTCCTTTCTCTCTCTAGTACCATCTTTTGATGGCACTAGAGAGGAATGAAAGAAAGCTATCAAACCTCTTACCATCAAATATAAATTACTGAAATTATACTAAATGAAAAGTAGCAGATTATAAATCAACTTTATTGTTTATGTGCTAAAAATTTACTTTTTTGGTTCTTTATTTTATAAAAAAACATTTATACTTTATTAAATATGTTTCCTTTAAAAAGCTAATTTATATAGTATTTCATACTAATTTTTATAATTAAAAGAATTAAATTTGCCATTATTTTTATAACTTAGTTTAGTATAAATAAAAGTTTACTTTTAGATAGAACATTTTAGAGAAAATAATTGTGTAACATTTATTTCATGTTGAATGTTTACTTGAAAAAAATTTGAGATTTATTTCTATAGATGATATGTTGGTGCAAATTATCAGTTGAAATCAAAATAGATAAAAAAGACCAACATAAAATTTAGTGAAATCCATTAATATCTCTTCTTTTATCCACTATAATAATTAAAATTTATCTTTTTATATATTATTCTAAAATACTAGAAAAAACTATATTATTTCAGAATAATATATAATTATATAAATTTAAATAAATAATATCAATATTTTAAAACTATGTACAATATGACATTATTTCAGAGCAATTATTTAATAATCATTGTATTTTATGATTATAATAATTATTATCATCATCATAGTTGTTGTTAGAAATAATAAAGAACACTAAAAATAACTCATTATATCTCAAAATTTCTTCAAAATTATGGTTACTAATNTCTACTGCGTTGTAGGAGGCCTATCTGTATATTTATTTATATTTTTCACATTGAACAATGAAAAGTACCAATCTTCAGATGTTGGATAATCATAGTATGACTATTTATATATAATCTTTTATAAATACAATTAAAACATTTATATTTATAAAAATAAGTTCATGATGACAAAATAGCAAAATATTTTAAAATACAGTTTATCTATAACAACAAAATGTAATTTTATCCCTATAGCAACATTTTATTTCAAATAAAACAAATAATACCTCTTTTTGCTGCAAAAATATTTTAACTGACATTTGAAGATTCTGCTTTAATAAGCTGCATATTATATTCTTTTCTTTTTCCTATAAAAATTTTTAAGTGTTATAAATTAAAATATTTAAAATTTTATATAACATTTTGAAAATATCTATACCACAATTTTATGGAAATTCTGAATTTTTTCATATTTGGTTATTAAATTTTCTTTCTTTTTTTCCAAATATTGACTATCTTTTTCTAATTCACTAACAGAATTTTTAAGTACTTCTAATGATTTTGTACAACCAACCAGTTCTGCTTCTTGCTTTAAGACTTCTCTGTAATTGAAAGATGTAGTGTCTTTAATTAAAAATGAATGTAAATTTATTCTTAAAAGAAAAAGCATATCTAAAAAAATCTTGGGAGTCATTTTTTGACTGATCACCATACTTTTCTTGTTATATAACAAAGCAAGTAAAGTAAAAATAATAATAATAATACATTATGATATTGCAGATAATTTTTATAAGGAAGTTAGTAAAATCACTATAATATTTAAATATACTTTAAAGTACTAGAGGGGCAAAATTCATTTTTGGAACTTTTGTTTATAATTTTTTAATATACACTAACCCATAGTGATACATGATCTACAAACAATATTTATTGAAAACTAGTAACAAATGTTAATGGAACATTATTTTATTTTTAATGTTATCATAATAGATAATTTATAAATTTCTAATATCAAATCTTTAAAATAATCCAATATGTAAAGTTAATGATAAAATAAATTCATATATAATTAAAACTTAAAATTACTTTATTAATTCAATATCTATTGGTCTTTCTAAATTATGCTTCCTCAGTTCAGATTCCATTACAGCTTCTAAAGCAGAAAACTGTTCTTCAAACTTCAAGCAATCTATATTCAATTTCTCAGATTCTAAATATTTCTTTATATGGATTAATCTTTCACCCTAAAAATAATAAAGAAAAATTTATTCTTATTAATTAAACTCTTTAACAAATTAAAAACAAAGTACTCTCATTGACTAAAAAGTTATACACCCAGATATAATTGTCCCATTACTTCAAAACTTACCATACAGCTATGTCTCAGAAAGGTATGACTATATGATGTAGTCAAAAGGTATTATGCACTGCTGACGACAGCATTTGAGAATGGCCATATCATTGGACTAAGGAGTGTTCATTTAAATAAATTTCCCACCATATGAGGTTTTCTGGCCTCATGTGAAGAGACATTGGGACAGTGAATAAGGAGAGCATATATATATATATATACATAATAGCTGTTACCTGCGACTTTACCCGTGTAGATTTACAACCATAGTAATTGTTATATAAACACCTACTGCTGAGAATGATGAGAATTGCTGAGAATCAAATGAACTGTTTTAAATTTGATCAATTTTCTAGAACATTTACAATCGTTTTATAATCGAACCAATATGCAATAACAAATTTGAATTTAAAACGGTTCAAACATTTGGTTAAAAAATTGAAATATATAAAAATACTTATAACAATGTCTGAAATGTTATCAATTTAACACACCTACGTACTCAATGAAGACTAAACGTAGTTGAAAATAAAAAAATTTCATCTAAAATAGTACAGTAAAAGCTGTTCCTCAAATTAAGCCTTAATCCTTTCCCTCTCCCCTGCAGGGGGATTTCGAAAAATCCCTTCTTAGTGTGCATTTTCATAACATGCCCTAACTGTGTACCAAATTTCACCTATTTAGGTTTAGCAGTTTGCTCTGGATGGTGATGAATCAGTCAGTCAGGACAAGTATCCACATATCTCCAGTCTAGGAGTGTATCCATTGGTAGTCCAATTTTGAGTACCCTTTGTGAGCTTGTGGTTTTACAATTGGAGCTGAATGTGCTTCTGGTCTTTGAAGATTGCATTCTCCTTTATTCCAGATATCTGAATAATATTCTGATTATTCAAAGCTTCCTTGATATGATCGACAACTCTTATGGATTAACATTGTGCCTCGTACAGCAAAGTGACCCAAGTCCATTTCCTTGATGTCTTTATCACTTTCAATGATGACACTCTGACAACTGATGTTTATCAAAAAGCATCTCACAATTCACTTTCTATTCCAAATGGCATCTCATAATCCACCAACTTACAAATCAGTTGCTTTCAAGGTCCTTATAAAAAGATTCTTTTCCCACTGTTCTATTAAGCAGCAGGAAATGAAATGCATTTACTGTATTGTTACCACATTAGGATACCAGCCCAGCTTTATCTCCTCATTGATACAATGTTATCATTCTTGTTTAAGTTCCAACTGTGCAGTACAAACAGTCACCTACAGCAAACTACATGGAATCTAAATGGAATCTACAAAGATACAGTTCAATGCTCCAACTTTCAAATTGCTTATAAATGTGTTCTGAATGTATTCTCCTTAATCAGGAATAACAAAGATCCTGTGGATAAAACTAAATATCTATACCACAATTTTATGGAAATTCTGAATTTTTTCATATTTGGTTATTAAATTTTCTTTCTTTTTTTCCAAATATTGACTATCTTTTTCTAATTCACTAACAGAATTTTTAAGTACTTCTAATGATTTTGTACAACCAACCAGTTCTGCTTCTTGCTTTAAGACTTCTCTGTAATTGAAAGATGTAGTGTCTTTAATTAAAAATGAATGTAAATTTATTCTTAAAAGAAAAAGCATATCTAAAAAAATCTTGGGAGTCATTTTTTGACTGATCACCATACTTTTCTTGTTATATAACAAAGCAAGTAAAGTAAAAATAATAATAATAATACATTATGATATTGCAGATAATTTTTATAAGGAAGTTAGTAAAATCACTATACAGAGAGGGCTTGAAATCTGCTCCATCATTGAGTGAGGCATTGGGTTTGCCCGATTCCGAAGAACTTGATGAGTGAGTTATTACACAGAAATATTTGCACCTTTAATAAANTTCTTATTAATTAAACTCTTTAACAAATTAAAAACAAAGTACTCTCATTGACTAAAAAGTTATACACCCAGATATAATTGTCCCATTACTTCAAAACTTACCATACAGCTATGTCTCAGAAAGGTATGACTATATGATGTAGTCAAAAGGTATTATGCACTGCTGACGACAGCATTTGAGAATGGCCATATCATTGGACTAAGGAGTGTTCATTTAAATAAATTTCCCACCATATGAGTTTTTCTGGCCTCATGTGAACAGACATTGGGACAGTGAATAAGGAGAGCATATATATATATATATATATATATACATACATAATAGCTGTTACCTGCGACTTTACCCGTGTAGATTTACAACCATAGTAATTGTTATATAAACACCTACTGCTGAGAATGATGAGAATTGCTGAGAATCAAATGAACTGTTTTAAATTTGATCAATTTTCTAGAACATTTACAATCGTTTTATAATCGAACCAATATGCAATAACAAATTTGAATTTAAAACGGTTCAAACATTTGGTTAAAAAATTGAAATATATAAAAATACTTATAACAATGTCTGAAATGTTATCAATTTAACACACCTACGTACTCAATGAAGACTAAACGTAGTTGAAAATAAAAAAATTTCATCTAAAATAGTACAGTAAAAGCTGTTCCTCAAATTAAGCCTTAATCCTTTCCCTCTCCCCTGCAGGGGGATTTCGAAAAATCCCTTCTTAGTGTGCATTTTCATAACATGCCCTAACTGTGTACCAAATTTCACCTATTTAGGTTTAGCAGTTTGCTCTGGATGGTGATGAATCAGTCAGTCAGGACAAGTATCCACATATCTCCAGTCTAGGAGTGTATCCATTGGTAGTCCAATTTTGAGTACCCTTTGTGAGCTTGTGGTTTTACAATTGGAGCTGAATGTGCTTCTGGTCTTTGAAGATTGCATTCTCCTTTATTCCAGATATCTGAATAATATTCTGATTATTCAAAGCTTCCTTGATATGATCGACAACTCTTATGGATTAACATTGTGCCTCGTACAGCAAAGTGACCCAAGTCCATTTCCTTGATGTCTTTATCATTTTCAATGATGACACTCTGACAACTGATGTTTATCAAAAAGCATCTCACAATTCACTTTCTATTCCAAATGGCATCTCATGATCCACCAACTTACAAATCAGTTGCTTTCAAGGTCCTTATAAAAAGATTCTTTTCCCACTGTTCTATTAAGCAGCAGGAAATGAAATGCATTTACTGTATTGTTACCACATTAGGATACCAGCCCAGCTTTATCTCCTCATTGATACAATGTTATCATTCTTGTTTAAGTTCCAACTGTGCAGTACAAACAGTCACCTACAGCAAACTACATGGAATCTAAATGGAATCTACAAAGATACAGTTCAATGCTCCAACTTTCAAATTGCTTATAAATGTGTTCTGAATGTATTCTCCTTAATCAGGAATAACAAAGATCCTGTGGATAAAACTAGTCTTCAAGGCATATTTACTCAATACCTTTATACAACTACAGGATAGATCGTATCTCTGAATATATTGGTGCCCATGTATATCTCTGATCCAGATCAAAGAACATCAAGACTCAATCAGAAAATGCCTGACTACAACTACCTTAGTGGCCTATGCCTCTGACCGGGATGGTGATGTCTGTTTTGATAAGGCACATCTAATACATAGCACATTGACTCCTCATCTAAAATACTGTATCTGGAAATACTCAAAATCTATTAAGCAATTTGTAAAAGGATCGCAAGTAACAATTGAGACACAGTGCCATTGTCACATGCATGGAGGGCTTTGTTTGAAGTTCTCTAGTTTCATTTATCATCTCTCTTATTATTACATTTTTATTAATTTTAACCTCCTTTTGTTACATGTTTACTTATTTATGTAACATACTTTTTATTTATATTCATTTTGTATGTATTTTTATTTTAAGTTATTTTGTGACTTCTTCTATAGATAAGTAGTGTTTTTGTGTGTTATTATATGCATATATTTGTATATTATCAATCCATAGATTCTATTTATTTATTTTTGGACTTGTGCAATAAACAATGAGAAAGTGTTTAAAGTTAAAATGTTCTATAATTGAAAACCAATTATAGAACATTTTATTTTTATACATTACATACTATATATACTATATACATATTTCTAGCATGTTTGTCATAAATCAAAAAATTGTTTGTTTGATCCTGACAAAGGTCAGTTAATTTGATTGAAAACATTAGATTACATTAATAAAATAGACTGCATGTTAAAGGTTAGTAAAGGGTAGTTAAGTTATTTTCTTTAAATATTTTATTTTAATTACAGTCGACCCCCCCTATAACACGGTAGAAATGTTCCGGTTTTTATGAAATCCATTTTCTACGAGTCCTTAAATACATGAGCCAGTTACAGCCCGGCACATATGCAGTTTACGGACTACGTCTGTTTGAAAGGTTTTCTTTCATAAAATTAATCGATTCTAGACTAATTCGACTCAACATGTNTAGATACAATCTGTAAGTTATATAATCATGCACAGGAATTTTTAAAAAATGAAAATATTTAAAAACTGAAGTAAATAAAATATGTATAATGAGGTATAATTTATGTAATAGAAAAAAGTAATAAACAATAACATAATGTTCCAAAAAAATAATATAATCTTTGTAAAGTTAAAACAATGAGATATTGTTTGTGGAAAAATATGTATAAATTGAAATTTTTGTAACATATGTTTGAAAATTTGTAAACAAAGCAGGAAGTATATGTAGGAATTTACTTGTTTGTTAATTAATAATAATTGAAATTAAAACACCCCTTTTGTAACAGGTGAAAGCCTTTTATGATTAATAAAGATTGGATTGGATTAACCAATTTGTATATTCGACCCTTGCACATGCAATACGTAATATGATTTGAATCATTTGACTGATTGTATTTTTAAAGGAATTTTCTGTTCTATCATAAGAATCTGATGAT